CTGGGGATTGAACTCAGGCCCTTGCACTTGCCAGGGAAGCGCTTATTCCACTGAGCCATCTCCCCAGCCCCGATAAAATGATTCTAAAGTTCATAAAGTAAAACACCAAGAGAGAAAATAAAAAGAAGGAGCATGTTTGAGATAGAGAAAATAAATGCAAAACTCAAATAGATTATTGGAATAGGAGAGCATCCAAATGTCTGAGTGTGTTGAGAACTGGATGTGAGACTGGTGGGAAGGAAGATTGATAAACAGCATTCTGTCAAACAGCAAGTAGCTATTTAAACAGACCAGGTGAAACAATCAAAATATTGGCATAAAGCCTGGAAGTGATCTTCCTAAACAAGACCAAAAAGAAAAAAGTGTTAATATTATATAGGAGTACAACAGTAGCTAACACATGATGGACTGAAATTAAGGTACAAGTGCTGGGGAGATACCTAGGTGGTCTAAGCACCGGCCTGGCAAGCCCAAGGATCCAGGTTCTATCCCTGATACTGCCTGCCATGCCATGCCAGCCCCAGAACCCTGGGTGAGCCATGCCAGCCATTGAAACTGGGCATGGTAGTGCACCCCCGTAATCCTAGCCCTGGGGAGGCTGAGACAGGAGGATCATGAGTCCAAGCTGCATAGTGAGACCTGGTACTAAATTAATTAATTAATTAAAATAAAATTAATGTACAAAAAGAATTCCTAAAATTGAGAAGAAAAAATAAAATCCAGTAGAAATATAATTCTCAGGCAGTTAAGTTTATTTAGAAAAAGAGTTTTGCAATTACATTTGCAAATGGCTTTGAGAAAAATGAATAGAGTAGAAATATTAGAGGCTCTCCAGCACATGAGGGGCCACCCTTTCATTGCTGAGAAGGGTGAGTGGCTGCTATCATCTCACAAAGTGTCAAGTGTACCTCATAACTAACGTCTGACAGTGACCTAGCCCCTGCCTTGGGGACCTATCTCCAGGAATAAAAGTGCTGAAGGATAATGTGGAGGAATTGTAATTGTAGCGTTGTTTGTAGTAAAAAAAAAAAAAAAAAAAAAAACCCAAAAAACAAACGACTATTTCAAGCTGCCTGATTTGTACCACAGGGAAGTAGAATACATTTCATGCATTTTCACTAAGAATATGGTGAAATTTAGATTGTTTTTACATCTTTGGATGATACTTAAGAATAAAATATATAGAATAATGTATCTACTATGATTGTTTTTACGAAAAGAAGTAAAAACCCTACCCATAAGTGTGTATTTATATGAACAGAGAGGGCTGTGTGCACTAAGTTAACATGGGAATTGAGCTGATGCTGCTAGGGAAGGTACTAGCTTTCTCTCTAGATTATTGATTAAAACAAACAAAACTAAGCCAAAAAGTCTTTGGCTAAACAGCAGGTTATGTGACAGTAGGAGATGTGATGGGGTTGTTTCTGTTGTGTTTGTAACACCTCAACACAGTGTCTGATGCTTAGTAATTATGGGATAATGAAATTTTATAAATGAATTCCTAAGTGGTTAGTAAGTAAGACTGAGCTGGGCATAGTGGTGCATTCCTATAATTTTACCACTTGGGAGGCTAAGGCAGGAGAATCACTACAAGTTTAAGGCCAGCCTGGGCTACATAAATGAATTCAAGGCCAGCCTGCAGTACAGAGCAAGGATTTATCCAAAAAAGATTAATATGTTTTTTAGTTTTTAGCTTTTGCTTCCTGTGAAAGGGTAACAGGCTTTCAAGGCCACAAGTTGGGTATCACGAATTCCATGTCCTAATGGTTTAGGGCATATGAAGTGCTTAGCTCTGTGCTTGGCACAGGGCTTTTGTTAGTTGGCCAGACCTAACATACAAGATGGTATATTGCAGCGTGTGTGTGTGTGTGTGTAAGACTGCAATGCAGTTTGCACAAGGAGCAGTAAGAGTGGGGAGTTAAGAGACCTGGGAGACCTCAGGAGTCCATGGAAGTGACAAAAGAACAGCAGAGCAGAGGACTGGTGACTTCTGACCTCCTTCTCCTCCGCTCTTGGCAGCAGTCAGGCTTCTGCAGGGAGTAAGTCTTGGCCAGCTAGGCTGCTGGGAGGTGAGTGGTGAGGACAGTGCGGACTAGATGGCTGGCTGTTCGTGCTGCTTCTCAGTGGAGCTGGGATTTCTACTCGCCCTTCCACCCACATCTGTGTCTGGTGGAAAGCACATCCTGCCTGCTTTTTTCTCGCTAATTTTTCATTTTTAATGTGCTTCTGTGACTAGACTCTAAACTCCTAGGGGAGTAGGGACTACGTTTGTCACTGCTGTTTCATTCATAAGCCTCGGGGCCTGGACTTAGCCTGGCATGTAGTAGTGACCTGCAGATACCAGGTTATGGGTTACTGCGCTTCCTCATGTGATCTTTGTTGGCCACAGGTGCTCAGTGGGCACCTAGTCCCCCACAGATCAGACCCAGGCCCCTCTTCACTGTGGGCTGTACCCAGCTCCTGGGGAGCCTGGAGCCACACATAGTACTGAACCTTCTCTATCCATCTCGATCCATATATGAGAAGAGGTTTCTGCTGTAATGAGGCTCAGTCAGAAAACAGTGTACCGTAGTACTGTGGCTGTCTGTCTCTTGCTGTTTTACTGTCTGCCCATCTTGTCACATAAAGGAAGCCTTCATGGCTCTCTGCAGACCTGCAGCTTCAGTGCCAGTGCCTCCTGTGGAGCCCTGCTACGTAGTACAGGAGTGGCGGGGACAGACACACTGATACTGGGCAGCGAACTCAGTGAAGAAGGCTGCTGTGAGGGACTCACGGGAGTGTTACTGGGTTTTCTGGGCCAAGGGCTGATTTGTGTTCTGGGCAGAACTGAATGAGGTGCTGCAGGTTGCACTGCTGCTTAGATGGCGAACAATATAAAACTTAGGACTGCTTATTTCAGGGATTTTCCATTTAATTTTTTCAAACCATAGTTGAGTACAGGAAACTGAGAGGGCAGAAAGTGAGGATGCAGTTTAGAGGGGACTGCTGTGTGGGAGCCTGGGGAAACACAGTTCTTATCCACGCAGGTTTCCTGGCAGCTGCCCCTTTTGGGTGTTCTTGTTCATTTTGAAAATAGAACTTGATTTGAGAGCTGGTAATGTACAGTTTTCTTTTGTCCGATATATGGTTATTGAATGTTTGAAGTGAGCTTCAGTATATAAATGTTATTCTCTTTAAACAACAGAACTACCAATGAAATAAAAAACCTCCAGTACCTACCTCGAACCAGCGAGCCTCGTGAGATGCTCTTTGAAGACAGGACGCGCGCGCACGCGGATCACATCGGGCAGGGCTTCGAGCGGCAGACCACGGCGGCTGTGGGCGTGCTCAAGGCTGTGCACTGTGGAGAGTGGTGTGTACCTGGGCCGCCAGGCAGGGAGGGGCCCGCTGGTCCCTGCCATGGGCAATGGTACCGTTTCCCCCTATATTTGGATAACCTAACTGCATAACTGCATGAAAGAAGATTTTACTTTGCTAGAATCTAGTCATTTGGGTTGAGTGAGATACAATTTTCTGAGTAGAGGGGAAAAATGGCAAAAGGAAACCTAGATATACTTGGTGCTAAATATACGCACATTTACAAATGTAGTCTCAATTTTATCAATCCTTTTTGGCCCTACTTATGACATAGGGAAACTGAGGCTCGGGCCATCAAGAAACTGCTTCACTTTAGTGTTATGAGGGTAGAGCTGAGACTGATTTCAGATCTGTTCTTTGACCTGTGTTGTCTTTTACTCTTAGATTTATTACTGCTTTTTTTTTTTT